ACCTGGTAGAGTATATGGGAACACAGAGTTAAGTGCTAGACTAGTAACTGAAAGTTTGGTGGATCAAACTCACCCAGAGACACCTTGGAAGACACCTGGCTATCTGCTTTCAAAAGGTCACAGCCTCAGAAACACTATGGAGTGATTTCTACTCTGCAACACATGAGGGCACCATGAGCCAGAATAGGCTTCATGGGCAACTAGTTCAGTTTGGATTATCTCCACCCTACCTCCTTTCTTCCCTGCTAGTTAGAGCTCTGGTGGCGTAGTGCCTAAGGCACTTGACTGCTAACCAGAAGGCTGGTGGTTCAAACCCACCGGCCACTCCTCGGAAGGAAGGTTGGGCAATCTACTTCCATAGTGATACCACCTCGGAAACCCAAGGAGGGGTTGTTATGAGTTGAGTCCAACTTGATGGTACATAACAATGACAGTTAAAGTTCACCTACCACTGTAAAGGCTGGAAATACTCAAGAATTACTTTTCCAGCCTCCCTTGCAGCTATAACATGGGCATATGACTCAGGCCTGGCCAATGGGATATTAAAGAGATAGCCTGCTTGGAGGCTTCTGGAAAATGTTTGCTTCTCTAATAAAAAATACAGAAGAAATGCCCCCTCTTCTTTGCTAAATATGGCCATGTTCACATGCAATGCCTGGCTGTTTCAGTTATTTTGCCACCATGAAAAGGGACAAGGCCAGTATCTCAGCAATGGCAGAGCAAAAAGATGGAAGTGGCAACATCATAAAACCATATGGAGCCACATTGCTTCTGGAGACAACAGATGCTTATTGTTTAAGCCACTTTATTTGGACATTCTATTACTTGCAGCCTAAAGCATTCCAACTGGAAGAAGCACGAATAAAGTCATCAACACATATCAATGTGATGTTATAAAAAGCACTGAAAATAGATATTTTTTCTTAAGATATTTATTGAAATAAATGAACCTCTTACAGCTGGCACAAGTTAGCTACTATATTAACTGTTCACGGAATAGTTTGGGTGCTCAAGCAAGAAACTATAGAATTTCTGAGATGATACGTCTTCCTTTTTCTGCATCTGAAATGACTTTTCCTCATTTCCTTCTCTCATTTGCACATTTTCCCTAAGAAACACTGAAAACTTTCTCCCTGCCCCCAGTAGGCAGCAATTTGCTTTTCTTGAAAGTCTTTCTTTCACAAAGTCATGGAAGTCAAAACATGTCATAGAAGAAGAATCTCAGAATTACATAAACAAAAGAATGTCAAGTCCCAGGGCTTCAAGCAACAATGCAGAGTCATAGAATTCTCAAGATAAGAAATGCCTTAGAAGTCGTTTGTGATGACACAGAAATAGAACACAGGTAAAACCAGAGCATCTGGTTAGAGTTCATTAAACCCACTAACAACGGTTGCCTCCCAGCCTACATTCTTACATCCAACAGCTGGCAAATCTTCAGTAATTCTTCCTGGTCCCATCCAAAAGGGAAGCTGATCCAGTCAGCAAACATACATTGGGGTCCACCTGCTACCACTGGGGATTCCTTCTTTCATCCCAGGAATATTTACCAACCATCCAGCAGGTGTTGGCACTGAGATGTAATTGACTTAAGTTTTATTCCCATGATCTTACAGTATTTTGGGGAAGTCATGCCTTTCCATACGAAAAACAATTTTTAAAATAGAAATGTTTTTACAATTTAAAAATATGCTGATATACATATATACGTATATCAATATATATCTGTATATCAATATCTATCTATCTGTCTATCTATATATGGATCCCTGTGGTGCCACTGTTGCTTGGCTGATAATCAAAAAGTTCTGTTGGGACCCACTAGTGGTTCCTCAGGAAAAAAGACCTGGCAATGTGCTCCCGTAATATTACAGCCTAGAAAAGGGCAATTCTACTCTATCCTATAGGGTCACTATGAGTCAGAATCTACGCTATGGCACAAAGCTATAGATATGTAAACATAGACACACACACACACACACACATATATATGGAAGCTCTGCTGAAACCTGTCCACCATGGGTGACCCTGCTGGTATCTGAAATACTGGTGGTATAGCCTCCGGCCTCACAGCAACACACAAGCCACCACAGCATGCAAACTGACAGATGATGTATGATATATATATATATTTGTTGTTGTTGTTATGTGCCATCAAGTCAGACCTGACTCATAGCGACCCCTCCTTGGGTTTCCAAGGCAGTATCACTATGGAAGTAGATTGCCCCATCTTCCTTCCGAGGAGTGGCTGGTGGGTTTGAACCGCCAGCCTCCTGGTTAGCAGTCAAGTGCTGTAGGCACTATGCTACCAGAGCTCCTATATGTATATATATATATATATATATATATATATATATATACATACATACACACACACACACATATGTATGATATATATGTATTATATATTCATATACAAACATGTATCTTATGATAGAGAGAGAGAGCAGTGTAGTGGTTAAGGCAGTTGGCTGCTAAACAAAAGGTCAGTGGTTCAAACCCACCATCTGCTCCATGGAAGAAAGATGAGGCAGTCTGCTTCTGTAAAGATTTACTGCCCTGGAAACCCAATGAAGGTAACTGTGAGTTGGAATTGACTTGGTGCCAGTGAGTTTGGTTTTAATATATGTATGCTACATATGTGATAACCGGAATTGTTGCCATCAAGTTAATTCCAACTCATAAAGACCTTATAGGACAGAGAAGAACTGCCTCCATAGTTTCCAAGGCTTTACAGAAGCAGCACCTTGAGTTGCAATATTGAAAAATTCTATGGGCAAAATATTGAACGATGCAGGAAGCATCAAAAGAAATGGAAGGAGTACACCAAGTCACTGTACCAAGAAGAATTTGGTTTACGTTCAAACATTTCAGGAGGTAGTATATGATCAAGAACCAGTATTAGTGAAGGAAGAAGAAAAAGCTGCATTGAAGGCACTGGTGAGAAACAAAGCTCCTGGAATTGAAAGAATATCAGTTGAAATGTTTCAACAAACTGATGCAATTCTGGAAGAGCTATTTGTCTATGTCAAGAAATTCAGAAGACAGCTACCTAGGCAACTGACTAGAAGAGATCCATATTTATGCCCATTTTTCAAAGAAAGGTGATCCAACAGAATGCATAAATTATCAAATAATGTCACATACAAGTAAAATTTTGCTGGAAATAATTCAAAAATGTTTGCAGCGATACATCAATAGTGAGCTGACAGAAATTCAAGTAACATTCAGAAGAGGATATGGAATGAGAGATATCATTGCTGATGTCAGATGGATCTTGGGTGAAAGCAAAGAATATCAGAAAGATGTTTACCTGTGTTTCATTGATGATGCAAAGGCATTCAACTGTATGAATCATAACAAATTATGGGTAACATTGGGAAGAACGGGAATTCCGGAACACTTAATTGTGCCCATGAGGAACCTGTACATAGCCCATGAGACAGCTGTTTGAACAGAACAAGGAGATACTACATGGTTTAAATCAGGAAAAGTGTGCATCAGAGTTTTATCCTTCCACCATACTTATTAACTCTGTATCCTGAGCAAATGATCTGAGAAGCTGGACTATATGAAGAAGAACGTGGCTTCAGGGTTGGAGGAAGACTCATTAACCTGTGATATGCAGATGACACAACCTTGCTTGCTGAAAGTGAAGAGGAAAAGTGAAGCAATTACTGCTGAAAATCAAAGACTACAGCCTTCTGTAGGGCTTACACCAAAACAAAAATCCTCACAATTGGACTAATAAGCAACATCATGATAGAGGAGAAAAGATTCAAATTGTCAAGGATTTCATTTCACGTGGATCCACAATCAATGCCCATGGAAGCAGCAGTCAAGAAATCAAAAGACTTGTTGCATTTGGCAAATCTACTGCAAAAGACCTCTTGAGTGTTAAAAAGCAGATATCACCTTGAGGACTGGTGTACCTGATCCAAGCCATGGTATTTTCAATTACCTCATAGGCATGAGAAAGATGGATAATGAATACGGAAGACCAAAGAATCGATGCCTTTGAATTATGGTATCTGCAAAGAATATTGAATATACCAAGGACTGCCAGAAAAATGAACTGTCTTAGAAGAAGTACAGCAGAAATGCTCCTTAGAAGGAAGATGGTGAGACTTCTTCTTATGTACTTTGATCAGGTAATCAGAAAGGACCAGGAGCTGGAGAAAGACATCATGTTTAGTAGAGTCAATGGAAAAGAAGACCTTCAACGAGACGAATTGAGGCAGCGACTGCAGCATCAAGTGTGAGGATGGCGCACAGCCCGCAGCTTTTCATCCTGCTGTACAAGGTAACTCTTGAGTAGCAACTCCAGGCTACTAACACCACCACCAAAGTAGATGCCCACATTTTTCTCCAGGGGAGCAGCTGGTAGGTTTGAACTGGGTTTTCAAGCAAGTTGGAACTGCTGACCTTTCAGTTAGCAGCCAGTGCTTAACCACTGCACCACCACAGCTCCTTACATACGTATGTGATAGAAAGCTGGAACTGCCACGTACGGAGAGGGCTAAGGTAGCTCCTTTCTCTCTCATTCACTTTAATGAAGAACATTTGCAGACCCTCTTAAGTCTGCACTGTGGGATGCGGAAACCAGGCCGCACACTGCGCGGTGATTTCCCCGGGGCAGTCGGGCCTGTGAGAGTGGTGTGCTCAAAGGCCTGGCAGGCGGAGGATGCAGTTGGAGCCGGACGGTCCCAGGAGGCCACAACTGCCGGGTCTGCACAGTCGGGCACCTGGCGGCGGAGCTAGGAGGCCGCGCGGAACTAGGCCGGGCAGGCCAGCGGGCGGGCCCGGCACCTGCTCACGCGCGGGGGCGGGAGCCAGGTGGCTTGGGGCGCGCCCGCCTCGCCCGGGCACCGAGCAGGAAGTGGCTACGGCGCGGGCCCGAGGGCGGGCTCCGCAAGACGCATCTCCTCCGCGGACCCTCGCGGTGCAGCCGGGCCGAGTGGCGGCCTAAGGCCGAGCCCGAACCCGGGGAGCGAGACCTAATGGCGGCGCTGGCGCCCGAGCGTTTCGAGGGCCCCGGGGACGCCGCCTCGGCCGCCCTGGACGAGCTATCCCGGAACTTCACGTATGGGGCGTCCGGCACCGGCAACGGCTCCCTGTCGGGCGAGTGGTACCGCAGGAACCAGGTAAGGGCCGGCCGCCCGGCTGGGGAGCAGGGCGGTGCTGCGGGACCCGCCATCCGCGCGCAGCGGCGATGGCTCTGGGGGCCCCCTGCTCCGCGGCCGCTTTCCTGCCACCTCTCACCCTGGTTGTCCAAGCGGGAAGCTGGCATGTGAGGTTCACACACACTGACTTTACTCGACTTCGTGTTGCAGAGTGAGGGTACCCCAGTCTTCGTTTTCCTGCATCTTTTACTGCAATGGGTCGCCCAGGTCTGCGGCTCTAACCTCTTTGGGGTCATTCCTGGGACCCCCGGTGCGGAACAATCCCGCCTCTCTCTGAATCCGCCCTCTTACCGGAAGGATTTTCAGGGAGTGTGAGAGTGAATCTCCACTCCTACTCACCCTGGGATCGTTTTACAGTTTTGTTTGAAAAGGGGGTGGTGGTGGTATACCCATTCTCATACACAGGGAACCCTTTAAGGTACCCGAAGGTCAGTTCGGCGCAGATGCTCTGAGCGTGTGCGGCCCCACTGCCTCAGCACAGCTCTTCCATTTTTGCGCGAGGAACGCTCATCTTCTTAGGTTGCAGTTGGCGTGACTCTCAGTCTTTCTCATTCGCCCTTTGGGAAAACATTGCCAACTCTAACAACGCCAGTCTAGGCTGGAAATAAATACTTAACAAGATCGAATGGGGATCGGAGCTTCCCATTTATTTCTGGCTTGGTTTAAGATCAGTAAAGGAGCCCACCAGCCCGTCCTATAACAACATTTATATTCTTTCAAGTGGCGGCCAGGGCCAGGGGGGATGGATTCCATGCTTCCTCCAGTTTTCCTGAGTGTGTTACTTTGTTCTTGTTTTTTAACAAATGCGTGGATCTTTTTATTTCACCACAATGTAATCACGAAATATTTGTTGCTGTTGGTCATGGTTGGGATTATCAACCAATAATCAGGAATCTGAAATCCTTTTATGCTTGAAAAGTACCTTGAATGTTAGTTTCTAAAATGTTAAAAATTTTGTTTTAAAAACACAAAGATGATTTATATCAAGAAAAGAATAAGCATGTTTACCATTATTAGTTTCTAACAGAGAGAGGAGAGTGTGGCTTTTAGTTTGTTTTCTTCCAAAAGATACGGAAATAGGAAAAAGGGAGGAACTGTACCTAACCTATCCCAATTTTCCTGTCTTCCACCCACAGGAAGTTGAAAGAAAACAATCACTTCTTTAAAAAACTGATTTTCTTGTTGTTGTTGAAAACATACATTGCAAAACATACACCCGAAAATAATCCCTTTTTATGAGAAGTTCTTCAAGGACAACTGTTACACTCTGCTTATGTTAAAAGCACTCCCAAGAAAAGCTAAAGAATGAATTTTCCCCTTTTGGTAAAGAAATTAGAGGGTTAGTCGTGATCTAGTGTGCTAGTTTCATCTAAAACAGGGGAAAGCATTGCTTTCACAGTGGAAACCTCTGTAGTCGTTAGTTTTTTTGAGCATTTCCTGGAATTCTTGATTGTCCTGGCTTTCTGACACCCGAGTGCAAATTGTCATGTGACATAATGTAAGGCTCACAAATGTTTACAAGGTTTAACTTGCCCCTGACAGTGTGCGTTTGTACTGTACAGGTTAGAAAGGGTGGTGTACCCAGAATATGCTCATTAAAATTACTCATTTGATATTTAAACTATTGCTGATTCAAGAGAAGACTGTATCAACTTTCCCCACAATTATGCATTTAAAAGCATCTTATAAGACTATGACATTTTAACCTTTCAGTAATTGTGTTTGTTTTAGGCAAAAGCAAAACTTGATTTTTTTTTTAAATTCATTCAACAAACATTTATTGAGTGCCTCTGGTGCTGGCCAAGCCAGCAAAAATGAAATGGAGACGCATTTTCCTTTTCTTTCTTCTTTTGATGCTACCTGAATGTCGATGACTGAAAACAGGATGGCTCCAGATAAACAGAGTGAGGTAGAAAATTGCGAGTCCCATCACTCAAAATTAGCTTTGCTTGCTGGGAAGTTATGGTTTAATGATGCTTGTCCCTTCACTTTCATTAGTTTTATCACAATTGAAATATTTGCACAGTGTCTCTTCACTAATAGCCCAGTTCTCTGGGCCTTTCAAGGTGATAACCATCAAATCTGATAAAGTAAGCTTACTCAGAAAAACACCAGTGCCCCTGGATCACTTCCATGCAAACATTGAGTGTTTAATAGTAGCTGCTTAAAATTGGTGTTGTCTGAGACAAAATCATAAGGGTTTCTGGAAGAGGAAATCTCAAAGCTGGTAGGAAGTAGTCATTCAATGGGGAAGATCTTGGGGAAGTCAAGGAGGTGAGGCCTTTGCCCCTTTTGTGTAATTCAGGAGGCTGCTATCCTGGTGTATATAACCCTACTTATATGGTGGCACAGATGAACAGATGGTTAAGTGTTCAACTACTAGCTGAAAGGTTGGCATTTCAAGCCCACTCAGAGGTGCCTCAGAAGAAAGGTCTGGTGATCTGCCTTGAAAACCTTATAGAGCAGTTCTGCTCTGCACATCTGGGGCCACCATGAGTTGACATGATGGCAACTAACACCAACAACAACATAGATGTACAGATACTACAGGTTGACGTCTCCAGGAGTATGGTATGTTTGACCCACACATTTTCAGTACAAAGGATAATGTTCCTAGGATGTTTATTGAGCATCCTACTATATGCATAGCACTATGGGGATATTCTGGTAGCATAGTGCCTAAGGCACTTGAGTGCTAATCAGAAGGCTGGCTGTTCAAACCCACCAGCCACTCCTCAGAAGGAAGGCGAGGCAATCTACTTCTGTAGTGATACAGCTTCGGAAACCCAAGGAGGGCTCGCTATGAGTCGGGTCCAACTTGACGGCACATAACAACAACAACAACAACAACAACAGGATATTCAGTATAGTCTAAGACCTAAACTAACTGTGCATTCCAGGAATGTTGTTAGGTCCTTAGGGAAGTGGGCTCTGGAGGCAACTCCAAAACGAGGCAGCATGTAGTGTCATAAAACCAAAACTCATTGCCATGGAGTCAGATCCGACTCCTAGCAACCCCTCTTTCGATTTCCAAGGTGGTATCACTACGGAAGTAGATTGCCCAGCCTTCCTTCCGAGGAGTGGCTGGTGGGTTTGAACCACCAGCCTTCTGGCTAGCAGTCAAATGCCTCAGGCACTATGCCACCAGAGCTCCTGTATGGTGTCATAGGAGTGATAAAGTTCAAAGGAAATTCAGATCAAGGTCTCTTCCAACTGGGGCCATCAGGAATGTTGTGGAGAGGTAACATTTGAAGCAGACACTTGAAGATGGACATGGTTTCAACCACTCCTGTCACGGTTTCATTGATAGGAGTGTACCAGTGGATGGATTCCAGGAAAGGGACAAGCACAGAGACAGAAGTGGGTAGGACATATCTGGTGACCTAGGACCAGCCCACTTGGCCTGGGCAGGTGCTCCTCTGAAAATTTTAGGAGAGTAGAATTCATGGACTCTTCTGTTAACAATGGAAGAAGGAGACTGGCTGTCAGGTGAAAATACAGTTTGGAGGCAGATGATACATTGTCTTGAAGGACTGGTTATGAGGTTTGGTCTGTATCTTACAGACAATGAGGAGCCATTGGAAGTATTTTGAACAGGGAGTGAGAAAATAAAAGCAAATTAAATAGAAGACATTTAAATTAGGATTATCAGTGTGCCTCAGACTGGCCAGCTAAGGACTAACTCCAGCCCATGGGTATGTCTTCTTTGACTTGCAGAGAGGTTTAAAAAATGTTTACTACATTGCCAACATTTTAAAACAAATAGATTATATATAAAATTTCAAGTTTCTGTCATCTTTTTAGAAGTTAGAAGTCATGGCAACACTGGGCCCTCTGCCCCTATAACCGTCAACTGGAGCTCAGGGATCAGACCAGGCATGTGTACCTCACTTTACCTCACTTGTCTCCCCTTCCTCTCAGCTCATTTTTCTTCTGACTCAGTTGTTGTTGTTGTTGTTGTTATGTGCCGTCGAGTTGGCCCCGACTCACAGCGACCCCTCCTTGGGTTTCCGAGGCAGTATCACTACGGAAGTAGGATTGCCCAACCTTCCTTCCGAGGAGTGGCTGGTGGGGTTGAACCGCCAGCTGTCTGGTTAGCAGTCAAGTGTCTTAGCCACTATGCTACCAGAGCTCCCTCTGACTCAGTAGGCACTTAAATTTGCAAGCAGTTTTAGAAGCTGTTACCTTGTCTCTGCTGTTAACTAGCTGAATGTACTTGGTTAAGTCACTTCATTTCCCTGGGCCTCAGTTCCTCATCGGTAAAATCAGGGTTGAAATAGACAGTCTTCGGGCATCCTCATACTACATACAACCCATTCCCATCAAATCTGTTCCGAGTCACGGCACCCCTGTGTGTTACAGAGCAGAGCTGCTCCCTGGGGTTCTCTTTATGCAAGCAGATTTCCAGGCCTCTCTTCCACAGTGCCACTACAGGTTCAAACCACCAACCCTTGGGTTAGCAGTCAAGCACAAACCGTTTGTGTCACACAGGGACTTTCTTCATGCTATGTGGTTGAATAAATAAGGGGTAAACTAGGAAGGGAGTGGCTAGGAGAACATGAATGTGAGAAATTTTATGATAGAGGTTTTTGTTATTTGTTCTTTAAGTTTATACATATTGCTAAATGTCTAAATTCAGAAGGACATTGCAAAGAAGGTTTAGTCTTCACAGGGTTAGATGAAAATTCAGAATGTGTTAGTCCCCTATTTGAACTTCTGAATTTCAATGGCTTGAGTGTTTAAAGTCAACATATTTAGAAGGAAATTGATATACCTTGGCAAGGAAGAGGCAAAGAGACTGACATTTGCTATGCATTTACTATGTGACACTTTATAGCAATTATCTCATAGCTCTATGCCCCCTCCCCCCACAACCTCCTGAGATACATATTATTCTCACAAGGACATAACTTGCCCCAAGATTTTACAGCCAGTAGGTTTATCTACAAAGCTACGGTATT